CCTTCGACACTGAAATTTCAACACTAATCAAAATAGCTGTTATGGGATCCCATCAGGAAAACTACGGTTTCACTGCAGATATTTTTCCTGTGCCTCTGCTTTGCTCTTCCTGACTCAGAGCTTTAAAGCCTCCTCCAATATAATTTAATTAGAAGAACATGCATTGTGAGGACAAAATCCTGATGGGAGGTAGATCATACCTGAGCAAATGTGGATAGATTTTATAAAATCCAAGGTGAGAGGGATGATGACAGGTCTCAGAGCCCAGAAAAGAGAGATACTTTGTTCCTTTTCATTTTGACAACATACATGATATCCCAAGGAGCTTCCTGAATTGTTCCATAGGACTGAATTGGATCCAGATCCTATTTTGGGGGGCGGTTCTGGGAATGTGCTTTGCAGTTGATACTCTGGGGAGCAGGTTAGTCTTTTGGAATTTTTTTATCTACTTGATATATAGGAATTTTTGGTTCTCCTGATGACAGTTCCTTATAAATAATGCCATGGTATTCTAATTGGAGCAGAGGACTTGGTGACAAAGTACGCAGTTGTCCCAGTGGTGGTAAGAGGCTGCTTCATTGCTGCTTATAAAAGGTTTCAAAGCAGATTTGTTTCTCATTTCTCAACTGAAATTAATGCCACACTTAAGAAAGCTTAAAATACCACCTTCCACTGTAAATTACATAATTTACATAATTGTGACTTTGGATGCTTATTAGAGCATTGAAGGAAACTTGGCCTCCTTTGTCCATTTCTTGGTCTCTTTAAAATCTTCCCAACAAAAGCAAATGCTTTTCCAGCTGGTTTGTCATTGAACTGAAACTCACCTTTCATGCTGCCTTGTGAGGTTCTTAGCAACATGTCTTGATTTGCTGTGCTCTGAAATGCAACCATCTTGATGGACCAATGCCCAGGGGCTGCTGGAATTATGGAGTGTTCATTACCAGACAGGAAGATAACCAAGGAATCTACCAGGGCACAGAAGAAGCTGGATTAGCACATGCTGTCATAAGGAATCTCTGTCAGTTTGCCTTTCCCCTTGCAATTCCAAAAATAATACCTCAAATACTGTACTTTACATTTCCAAAATGTTCCAAAACACTCATAGAAATCTTTAGTACTTTGTATATTTTGTAATCGGTCAAGAAATCCAACTCCCAGAAGAGTAAAAATCAATCAATAATATAAAATACAGATTTTCTCTAAATTATTATTTTTCTGGTGGTCAGCTCTCCTGGCAGTTCATGTTTCCCGGCTGCTCAGTTCTAATTCAATGTCTGGCACATGGTAGCTGATCATTAAATGTTAGCTAATGAATAAAAGAAATATGCAGTTAGCTAAACAGTACCACCTATTCTTTTTTCACCTCAACCCAAAAGTCAATAAATAATAAGTGTGGTCCCCTAGTCAAACTTTGTTTTGATAATTCTTGATTGCTTCTTTCAAGTAGAGGCTCCAAATCAGTAGTGAGCAATCCCAGGGGAGGAGGGAAAGCAATCCAGACGAGGACGAGAGAGAAATGATGGTCAATGACAGAGTGGATGGAAAGTGTGCCTTAGCCCATTCCCATTTTGAAGACAGTCCCATCCCAGAGTTGCAGATACACCGAGAGTGGCCGTACCAGTTCCCAGCTGGCACACCACATTCCATTGCTCTTTCCTGCTAAACTGATTCTACTTAGCAAAGCTCTTCAGCAGACAGGATCACTGCATGATATGAAGCATAACAAGAAATTAAAATCTTTTAAGGAGATACTTCTCTTTGTCCAGTGATCTAGACATTAAAAACTAATGACAATCATCCTGGATATTAGCTAGGAACTAAAACATGGCTTTGTATCATGTATCCTGGAAAAAAAAGAAAAGATAATCTCATTCCTATTTGTCTTGACTAATAGAATATTAATGGCTGAGAAACCTTCTCCAGATCTCAGTATTTATGCTTTGAAGGGAAGGGGTGGGGGTGGGATGTACATATTTCCTGCCTTCCATGGTACAACACAAGATGCACACATGTGTAGCTGTGTGTAGGCACAATGTGATTTGACTAAACCAGGGAGTGTCAGTACTGTTCCCAATATTGTCCTATTGTCTTTGGTTCATGTCTTTGAACATGTACAGAAGGGCATGATGAGATTAAAGAATTGAAATCCTTACCATAGAAGGAAGCCTGGACATAGATTTTATTTATCCCCAAAAAGGAAAGATTTGAAGGGAATTGGTGACTACCCTCAAATACTTGAAGACTTAGTGATCTGTTCTGTGTGGTCCCAGATAGTAGTGCTACACTGATAAATGGATGTTCCAATGAGGCATATCCAGACCAATGTAAGCAATAACTACACCCTGACACAGGCTGCCCTAAGGTGATGAGTTTCTCAACCCAAGGGACTTCAAGGGGAAGTTAAATGATTACTCCTCAGATGTTACCAAGATGTGCCTTCGCTCTAAGAGTCCTACAATCTTATATAATGGCATAGATGGCTTACAGGCAACTGACCAAGCATTTGCACTCTGTGCTCGTGGCAATGGCCACTGCTTTTCTAGTCTGGCTGGGATCAGGTGGAACGCGACCTCTCTTGTAATTCATTTGGGAAGTTTTCATGACAAGGTAGAAAACTTTTTTTGTAGGAGCTGCTTAGAGAAAATGGGGTAAGAGCCCAGTTGGTAGGGTGTGGGAGGCCGTAAGTGGGAAAAACACAAAGACAGAAATGGGTGTGTGGATATTAAATAATCTTGCCTGAATAGAGGGCACACTTCAAGAGTGAGAGGAGTCAAGGAAAACTGGGTCATCAATAAATAATGGATCCACATTAAAAAGTCAGAAAAAAGTATTATTTTAGAGTCAAGTTATTAATCCCGTGAATAACCGTCACTACCCTTGGCCCCCACCCTGCGGAGTGGTGTCATCACCAACTCTAAGTTTTTCTTCCTGGCGCTGGGAAAAGGTAAGTACAATTCGTGACGGGCTCATATACGCTCCCAAGGTCTGGATTCCGTACATATCTCTTCACTGGCTTTCAGATGATTACTTGGGGTTTCAATATACTCTGAAATCAATTTTACTGTATATGTTCTTTCTCTTAATGTTTAAAGCAACTAGCATTTTCAATATAATGAATTGATTGTTAGCACCTGGTGAAAACTACATTTGCAAGCAAATTTTTATTAATAAAAAATCTTTTACTGACATAAATATCACAGTACATGCCTTCTCTCTCTAAAAGAAGCCCACATCAATTTGTAATGCTGTGTTGTTGTTTTTCAAATTTTTCCATTAAACTAAAATACTAATTTTGCCTTGAGGTAATTATAACAGGAATTATTTCTGATTTACTATTTCTGAACAAAGAAGTGATTACATATGTCGAGTCATGCAAACCATATGAAGTTCAGGTAGAAGAAAATTTAAATACACTATTATTGGGACCACAGTGCCTTAACCCCGTAAATAGCGATACCTTTTCCCTGAGATCTGGTTTATACTTTTCTTTTAAAAAAAAAAAATCCCCTCATGAATAACATTCTAAGTTCATAAATGAAAATGAGACTGACTCTTGGCAATATTAAAATTAAAACCCACCAACACCCTTGTTCTGACACCTTCAAGTAGGATGATGTTCTGCTCACATACACTGCAGTTAGTTTTGCTTGAACATGCCCATAATAGCATTTGCACAGAGTAAAGAGTATGTTTAACATGGAGAAACATGCTAACAAACTCAAAACAGAAAAAATATTCTCAGGAACACCCTCTGCCAACTGAAATAAAATTATTTTTTCCCACAAGGAAGTTCCTTGCTGGTTTTGGACTATCACCCTCATGTCAGCTGTAGTTCCTGAGCTATGACTATCACACGAAGTCCTGAGAAGTCCCCAGCCGTACAACATCTGTCTCTGCTCAAATCATCCTTCAGCAAAGAACCAGTTAACAATTAACCAAAGAGAAGGGAGTGATCTTAACAATTTAGAGAAACTACCTCATAAGCCCTTCTAAAAACAGATCAAGTGATTGATAAGTCCTTTCTCTGGTGGAATAGTGGTCTTCACACCAGACCTGACTATCTGAAAATGAAGACTTTTTTCTTTTTTTTTTTTTTTTACTACCAATGCACCTTACTGCTGGCCACAGTCTATTACTAGAGAAGCAGACGTTCAAGTGGCACCCCTAGGGTCTGATCATAATTCAGAAAGAGAGGTAAAGTTCCTTCCCTAGTTACCAGTTCAACTCTACTTCCCTCTCGTATCCAAAGAGCAAGTCTCAAGTATGCTGGTATAGAAAAATCATCTCATCCATTTCAAAATGGAAAAAATTATATACAGGGTCCAGCACAAATAACACCCCTTTTTTATTACAAATCTTTTATTACAAAATCAGAAGCACTTAATTCTGTAACATAACAATGTCACACTCAAGCACACCATATGACATTTTAGGTGAAATGTTCAAATTAAAACTATAAATTATTACATGCATATTATTACCCTACCAACCACACTCAAGCAGGTGTTGCTTCTGCCAAACACTGCATATGAAGAGAGAAAGGGGGAACTTTGGAACAGCGAAGAGTTCCTAAAAATCACCTCCTAAGTAGAAACCCTTTAAGAGGCCACTATTGTATAGGTAGTAAGTTGGGAAGTACCTAAAGGGGGTGAAGTATTAATTTCCTCTTGGTCATCAGGGGTTAAAATTTACCTCTAAAGTTTCTAAATTCAACTCTAAAAATATTTCATTAAAAGGAAGCTTTCTCTACCAAAAAAAAAAAAAAACCTGGGGGGAATGAAAATGGCTGTGATGTTTGAGGGGACCTCTGCCAGGTCTTGGGTTCTGACCTGCCCAGAATCCCCTGCCAGCCCGAGCCATTTTGGATTAGTAAATGCCTGTGGCAGCTGCCGGCTGAATGAGGCCTGGTACAGAGGCATTGGAAAGCAGGTCTTGGGGGCTGTGCACCGGCCACGGGCAGATTTCTGATCTCTAGTTTGCATTGATCTTACGTTTAGACACAGATTCAGAAGAACAGACACTCCCTTTTCCAGTGCCTTCGGAAAGATTGCCGCTCCGTAGAATGAGTCCTTTCTCCTCCACCCTTAATCTACAGCCCAGCTTCCCCGGGAGATCCTACTTTGATTTCCGATCCTCACCCCACCAGCTGAGCTTGCATTCCTCCTTACAGTCTCTCAATGCACCGGGTGAGCCCAGCTCGTCTGACCTTTCCTCTTGATCTCTGTGCCTTGGAGGCGTCTCTGAAACACCTGTTTTGTTCTTGCCATTCATGTGCGTGGAGATGGCGATGAGCTAGTCTCTCTGTTTGTGGCCTGCTTCCATATAAGGGGCATTTGGGTGATGGAGCTTTGTGGCGTTCTTGTTTGTGTGGTGTGAGGACCCACCATCGAGCTGTGGTCAATGTACAATGGCATTGGAAAGCGATGAGTGAAGTTGTTCTTTTTGCACAAGCTGGTACCGCCACGGAGAGCCTGCTCTGTCATCACATGCAGTGGCAAAGCACGGCCCAGGCACTGGCTGGGTGGAAGGCTTAGTTTGGAGGTTTGCAGCCCTGCTGTATCCAGGAAACCAGCTGTGTCTGGGGGACTGGATCAGTGCATCCAGCCTGGAGTGGTCTGATTAAACATAGACTCAAGAGATCTTTATTGAAAAAATAAAAGTCAAAACACGCCAACAGCAAAATGCGTCATACAAAGCAGGCAAACCAGAGGGCAGAAAGTAAAACATTTTTCTGCAAAAGCCTGCGCTCGCTGGTAGGACAGTTGGGCTCAAGGCTGGGCAGGGAGGGCAGTTTCCAAGCAAAAAGGGGGCATCGCCACTAGCTGAATTAGAAACCCTTAACTAGCTTAAGGGCCAAAGATCTGATTTTCCACAGCCAAGCAGGTTGTGACAGGGCTCTAGGCCGACCTCAGGGAAGCTAGACTGGGGTTACCACGCAGCGAACTGTCTAGCAAATAGAATCCTTAAATGCCTACAGTGCAGACCTACTTGATCTCTTCAGGACTATATTGTAATCATGGATACACGTGATGCACGTTTCACATTTCCAGGGGGTTCTTTTGCTTTTTATTTTTATTGTTTTTGATCATCCCACTTCCTGGAATGAAGAAGACCACAGCATGACAGTGCAAAAAGGATGCAGGGACTTCAAGCTCTCTTTAAAATGACATTTTTCTTTGTGCTTTTACGTTTCTTCTTGTTTTTCTGTGCACTACTGGCTTTCAGACATGCTTTGTTATGGAATTCTTTTCACTTGTGTCTCATGTACTCAAATATCGTAATAGTTTTTGTAATGTATACTGTCTCAAGAATAAAAGGAAATGTGGGTTTGTGGGTATTTGATGGCTGTGTTTGACAGCACTGCTCTAGTTGTATCGTTGAATCCTAAATGTATGATGGTGTGTTTAAAGTAATGTAAGATTTCAGAAAACTTGTTTTGAGAAAGACTTGCACAAGGCATGATTCATTTAAACATTTTAAAAGCCCTATTGAGTTCTACAAATTTACTTCCAAAGACGGATATGAGATTCAGTTTTAAAACTCCATCTGTTCTCTGGAGAATATGATTCTTTTGTATGGGATTTATCCCACAGTAAAATCAAGTAACCAAAAGTAAGGTCAAAATCTTTTAAATTTTGCTTTTAACTCAATCATTAGTCCTTTCTAAGTTTCTTTCTTAATTCTTCTGAAGTTTCTTTAATTCAGTGTAGTATCCTTCAGTTGTTTTAGGAATTAGCATGTTAGGGTCTTAGTGAGTTGAAAAAAAATTAAATGATCCTTTCTAAGGGATACCCTAGTGCTCATCAAAAACACATTGTCTAGAGAGGCCCCCGACACCAGTTGAAATTGTAGTTGTCACATCTGAACATTTTAAGACAAGACTGCCTCTTCTACCCCAATGCACCTTCTTGCAGGGCAGATAGGGGTATCCAAAGCTTAAGGAAAAGTTCCACAGGTGATTCTAAGCTCTCTCTGAGGCCACTCACACCCCCGCCGCCCCCCATCCCTCTCCTCTCCCTTAGATGACAAGGACTGATGTCGCAAAACCATCTAAGACGGAGATGAGGTAATTTTTATCACATTTAATTAATGTCATTATTAATAATTATTACATATATTTATTAACACATAGATTACATTTCACATTTAGTTATATACATAGAATTTAACTTGGACCCAAATCACAACAAAGTCCTAACCTGAGTCAGAAGTGTATGGAACAGTGATGTAGAGTAGAGTTTTATCAAGATCCAGTGTTTTTTTCCAATTCCAATGGGATGGATTTTTCTCATTTTTAAATAGTAAGCCTTCTTAATGTGGAATTACCTTAGTGGAAAAGATTGATTTTCAAAGATGATGAAAATTTAAGCTGTACAGTTTAGAATCAATTAGAGGAGGATTTATTAAATAGAAAAGATATGTACTTTTCATTTCAAAAAAGCAGAGAAGAAATTTTTACTCATCAAAGTAAACGAACATAAAAAAGGGCTTTGGTTTTTCATGAATCAGGCCTCTGGTGACTCTGTTTAGCTGGCGCTTTTTAAGTATATACAAACAATTTTTATCAACCTGGTTGTTGTTTCATAGCTTTGATGTGTAGTATCTTTTTATAGGATGCAATTTTGAACCACAGTCTGCACCTTACACTCAATTAGGCAAGTATACCTATTGTAATTGTTGTCTTTTACTTATGTGACTGGTATGCTCAACTTCCTTCACAAAATAAATTGCAGTAGCTTATTTTATGTCAATAAAATTGTCTGCCATTCAAATCCAATTATAAGAGCTTCTCAAATACTTAGAAAAATGGGAAAAAATAGCTGTATTTTAATTTTATATCTCAAACAAGATTACTTTTTTGGCCAGTTTTCTTATACATCAGTGCAAAGCACTATTTATGAGCATTAAGTGTGAGTAAAGGTACAGTCAGACCAACTGTGTAGCGTTTGTGGTGTTTTAAATTGAGCCCTTTTTCGGTATTAGCCTATTAAAAGAGCCATATTTTCTTATCAATGTCAATTTTGCTTCCTATTTCTCTCTCCCATGCCTTTCACTTGGAATGACAACAGTTGACATTAAAAAGCTGTTGGCAGGTATGAAATAACCTTATTCTGTTACAAATAGCAAAGACCGAAGTGCATGTGAGGTGACTCACAGGTTCCATAAATCAGCAGTGACATCTCTCCAGTGCATTATTGGTAGGCGCGTTTAGAGATTGGGGCATAACAGTGTGTACAAAGACATCATTCTATCTGCACCTAATGTCCGAAATATCTACCGCTCCAGCAAAATACTTCACACGTTAGAGTTAGGAGGAACATGCAAACTGTATTTTTACTTTATGAAGGAAGTAAACTATCTTATGTCCGAAGTCATGATCACTAATGAAAATTCATTTACGTTGCTGATAGCTTCACAGCTTTTTTTGAGCTTTCGCTAGCACTAAGGACATTTTCAAAATGACTAGATTCGAGCACTTCTGCGGAAGGAATATTTCCTGGTTTCACAGTGTGTTTTATCCTTCCTCCATCTAGGACCCTAGATCCTAGCCTCCCCGCCTCAGGGTTACACAGGCATCTTAGCGCACCCCTCTCCCTTTATGGTGTTTGGTGTACTGTTCTGCCAGTCACCGGGTGAAGGGACTTGCACCTTCCCAAATCGATGCCACCTCACTCCCGGATCACCTGGTTGGGAGTGCAGTCTGAGCCAGGTAACCCCTGCTGAATCGGTCATGTGTGCTCCGCCTGCTTCTGGGTGCAGAGAGTACCGGCTCCCAGGATATGGCCCCTGTCTGCTCACTCACGTCCCCTTCTGGCCCTGGACGCCTCCCTCCTGCATGGCAGCATGAAAATGGGACACAGCGCTCCTCAGCCACCCAGGAGTCTGTTATGGTGTTGGCTTCATGGGTCCGTCTTAATAACCCCACTCCCTTCTGTTGTTCCCAGTGGCCTGGTTTGCTTTTGACCCTGGCTCAGCACACTCTGACATCATCTTCTCCAATGACAACCTGACTGTGACCTGCAGTAGCTACGATGACCGAGTGGTGCTAGGGAAGACCGGCTTCTCTAAGGGTGTCCACTACTGGGAGTTAACTGTGGATCGCTACGACAACCACCCCGACCCTGCCTTTGGTGTGGCTCGCATCGACGTGATGAAGGATGTGATGTTAGGAAAGGACGACAAAGCTTGGGCAATGTATGTGGACAATAACCGGAGCTGGTTCATGCACAACAACTCGCACACCAACAGGTACCCTGCAGCCCCCAAACCAAGCCTTCTTCACGTTGGCTGCTGGTAAAGACTGAGAACCCAAGTTCAAAGGCCTCTTAAATAGACAATGTTAGGGAAGTTGAACAGGTGGTCTTCATTAAATAGCACAGGAGTTCTGCTCGTATTAACGGAGTCCATCCTAGTGGGTATTTTATTTTTGTTTGTTTATTCTTTGAATAATGGCAGAGACATGAGCTCTTTCCTGAGCCCTTCATTCTAACAGCCCACCCATGGCTGGAAACTACGAGGCGCCATGCATGTCTATTACAGGAAAACATTTCAGGATTCTAAAATCTAGCCTTTCAACTTAACAGAAAAGCAGTTTTGGACAAGTTATTTAGTTTTTCTAAACTTCAATTTTTAAATCCACCCAATTAGGATAATGATATTTTTCCATGCAGGAGTGTTCCCAATTAAATGGCACATGCAAAAATGCCTCATATCAGAGGCACCTGGGAACAGAAGCCATTGTTCTTCTTCTTTTGATTATTTTCAATACCACTGCTCAGAATAGAAGCCATTTAACAACTGAATCTTATGGGTGCCAATTTAGATAGCTTTGTACTTGAAAAACGCTCTTGTAATTGTAGGTTCAGAGTACACAGTTTGCTGGGGAAAGAGAACATGGTAATCTCCTTAGGTTTTCCTCTACCACCAAAATGTAAGCAATTATAATTTAACCCATTCTGTACTAGTTTCCCAAGACTTCCTTTTTCATTTGATTTGTGTTTTCTTCCTCAAATGTATTTTTCACAAATTTCCTAGGTAGGTAAGTGTCTGTCATGGACACTGCTCCTCCTTATTCTCAATGATTTCCCCAGGATACATTCTCATTGGTGTCTCTGGAAAAAAAAAACCAGTCAGGTCAGAAGGAAAGTGGGAAAGCAGTAGGATGGTGGCCTCCCTTGTTTCAGCCTTTTCTATGTTCTCATTACTGCCCCTTCTCTAGCCTGTAGGTCTCCTAGGGCCTCTGCTTCCTGGCCCCTTGGATATTTTCTATACCCCTCCATGCTATGTGTGTTATTTGTTATCACTCTAAGTGAACACACATACCATTTCAACCTGAGCTCAAACTTTATTAGGAATAGTGGTTATCTTCACTAATCTACATTTTCAGAACCCTCTGTAACTGGATCTTTGACTCCATCACCCACGTACCATGCTTACTTTTCCCTTTTAGCTTCTTTATTTTGGAGTGAAGGAGTGAATAATGACACAAATGCCACTCATCACAGAAACACATTCTTAAAGCTGAACACATCTGCTTGCATGCAAACTATATGTCACTTGTGCTGTGGTTGTTGAAGGTGTGAATTAACAAGACACACTTTACACATACAAACTCGTCTTTCAGCATCCATGTGTGGGCTGTATTCTGCATGCCTGAGAAAAAGAACAGCACTCTCAAATTTCTGGGCTCTGCTGAGATGAGGATGAATTTCAATATTGTTAGATCTCAAAGAGGGGAAATGACAAATCTGACCATCCATGCTCAATGGCTTTTGCGAATCCATCCATTGAAGCATAAGACACAGTTCATTGTAAAATGATATTTGAATGCAGATTCTTTAAAATCAGTCCATCTTCTACAGTATAATTACGTTATAGGGGAGAATCCCCTTCTTTGATGTTGTCATTTTACAGAGCCTCCAACTTCTCAATTCAAACTCAGCATGTCAAAATTACCATCTTTCTGGAATGGGTGTTCCTCTTTAATGGGAAGCCTAAGGCCCCGAATCCAACTTGTCATGCATATGTTTAAGCTGGGCTTAACTTCTTCTTTATTTTGGTTTTCAAATTAAATCACTTTCAATTAATGATGTTTAATCCACACTCTTTGTGCAAAGTGTACATCATAGCAATGGGCAGAACTCTGACAGCCCAAAGGCTACTTTCTTTCTTGGTCTTTAATGCTTTTAATGCTTCCTTGGTCTTTTCTGAGCTGTGCTGCAGTGGTGGTCACCGTATATGAATGAGTTCACTCTCAGCAACAGCAGAGCAACGTGGTTAAACCTATGCATTCTCAACACGGGGGGATACCTCCCCCAAGGCAGTGACAATTGGTTTGGAGAGAAAAGCAAAAAAAAAATCTTATTATTTTTATAAATAAAGCACAGATGTGCATACAGCACATAAACAGATACACAGTATATCTGTATTGAAATATCATGTAAAGAGGAGTATTAGGGAGGAGGGGACTGTTTTAAAAGGCTCCTTGGATGGAGCAGATGCTACTTTTAAACAAGTTGAGAAACACTGGTTTAACCACGCAAATGGGAAACTTCTAGAATGATGACAGTCAAGTGAAACCCAATTGTTTTTCTCCACAGAACTGAGGGAGGGATCACAAAAGGGGCCACAGTCGGGGTCCTCCTCGATTTAAATAGAAAAACCTTGACGTTTTTTATCAACGATGAACAGCAAGGGCCCATAGCATTCGAGAATGTGGAGGGCATGTTCTTCCCAGCAGTCAGCCTGAATAGGAACGTGCAGGTAAGCACAGTGCCCCGGGGTTTAGAAGTGGCTTCCGAGGCTGCCTGTGGATGGGTAAATCATCCCTGAGAGAGGGGAGCTCAGTGTGCAAGGCCCAGACCAAGACAGGCAGGAAAGGAGGCGGGGAAAGGATTAACATTGACAACCGACACGTTTCCGAACTAACCTGAACCCCTCGGTTGTACTTGGACACAGTCTAGTTAACAGCCAGGGGGAAACTGGAATTCTCTTCATGGTTTGCTAATGATTGTCCCTCTGAGCCCTGGTTTCATCTCTAGTAGAAATGGAACTCTTGAACCAGTTGGCATGAGGACAAGGGACTTGTGCAGTTCCATAAGCACCTGAGAGAGGAAGTATAAGACAGAAATCAGCACCATTATCAGAAATTTCAAGCACCTTTTCTGCACTCTTATTCAATTCTGTGGGGATAGAAAACAGTTCCTGGCCAAAAGTTAGTTACTTCTGATTTATTGTGAATAGAAAAACAACAGCCTCTTCTCAGTCATTCATTCAACAAATATCTACTGAGTGCCCTTAATATGTGAGGCACTCTTCTAAGTATTGTTTATCAGCGAAAAGGAAACAGATAAAAATCTTGCCCTCATTGAGCTCTTGCATTGTAGTTGTAGGAAACAGACAACAATTAAGCACAAATGCCACGTTAATTATATAGTGTGTTAGAAGGCAACAAGTGAAAAGGTGGAAGCCCGGGGGCAGGGTAAGGGGATCAAGGGTGCCAGGGCTGGGAGGGTGTTGCCCTCTTATACAGGGTGGTCGGCGTCGGCAGGCCTTATTGCCATCTGCCCACAGGTAGCTGAGCCTTGAAGGGGCGAGGAAGCGAGCTGTGTGCAGCTTTCCAGGCAGAGGGAACAGCCAGAGCAAAGCTTCTCAGCCATGAGGGGCTGCACACAAGCAAGGAAGGGCCAAGAGGCCACGGGCAGGAGCAGATGGGGACGGGGGGACAGGCGGTGGGAGAGACGGCCAGAACCCTGCAGGGAGGGCTGTGCCCTGCCAGCCGCTGCTAAGACTTGGGCATTCATTTCCCCCTTGAGGTGGAGCCCTCGTTGTCAGTCACGAATCTCATTCAGCAAAGGGCTACCTTTAGATAGTTAAGGCTTGAGAATCGAAATACTGCGGGTGACTTTTGCTCTTTCAGAACCAGCCTGGGGAGCTATTTTAAAAATCCATTGTTGTTTATCAGTACGTACAGTAGAAGGGACGGCAACCCAGTGACCTCTGCCTTCCTCCCTTCCTGCAACTAGTCAGGGTTTTCGGGGAGGCTGAAATCTAATCTATCAGGTTCAGCCTCTACGGTGGAAGAAAGAAAACCATAAAATACCCTAGAAATGAGCCTTAGGAAAACCTCAAAGTTTTCCACATTTTTAGCTGCTCTGAGTATCTTTAGATAAAGAAAGACTCTTGGGATGGGGAAGACAGATGGGACAAGAACGGGAGAGATGACAGTACTGCGTGAAAGGGTTCTTGTCCATTGAGGTCTGAGATTGGACAGAAATCAGTGAAATAGTGTAAGTGCCCTCTTCATACCTGACAATCAGCTATGCAATCCCCAAATAAAAGCTTTATCTTAATTGGAATAACTAGTGGACAAGCGATAAAGGAAGTATTGCCTGCTCATCTGTTCTCTAACCACGGATCTGGCAGAGATCACTATGATCCGGACAACAGGCTTGGCTACTTGCAGATCACTGCCCGGATCTTCAGGAACACAAGCTCCCCAGAATCCTAAAATGAGAACCCCGTCATCAAGTGTCTCCAGGATTTGAGAGCCCACCATGATGACCAGGTTCTTAGCACAGGCAGAATTCTACTAGAGTTCTCCTAAAGTGTTCTAGAATAGATGTTAAAGAAAAGTGAGTAACTCCCTTTTGAAATAGGAACGCCCACTATGCCCTGGGCAGGAGAATGCAACTGGGGCTGGGGGAAAAGGGGAGTGTTCCTGCAGTGCCTCCAGGACTCACAGTCTCTTCCCCCAGGTCACGCTTCACACTGGGCTCCCGGTCCCTGACTTCTACTCCAGCAGAGCATCAATAGCCTAAGGATGTGCTGTGGAGGCGCCAGCTGCCTGTTCTTGCCTCCGCCCGCCCGCCCGAGAAGCCACAGCAAGGAGCTCAGCCAGAGCTCGGCGGGATGCCAGAGAGCCGGGAGGAGGGGGAGAAGGAGAGAAAAGCTGGTCCTCTACCGTAGTCACACCCCACAGCTCCGCCCCTTTCCTTTCCAACCTCTCCACTGCTGTAATGCCTGCATTCGCTTCCAACGTCAGCAGTTCCAGCCAACAAAGGACCTAGCCAGCCCACCATGTCACTCATTTCCACTTTCAGATTTTGCTTTTCTTTAACTTAATTTTTATGTCAGTGAGTAATATCTTGTTTCCTTTCTGATCATGTTATTGGTGACACATGGAACTGTGGCATTACCAAGAAAAAAATCTCCGGATAACTTTTTTCTTCAGCTTTCTGTCAGAGGTTGTAGGGAGAGTAGGGAAGAATGAGCTGAATTTGGAACCTGCAGTTTACCTCCTAGAATGTTCTTGCCGCATTACCTCTCCTGCAGGGTTAGCTCTGCATAGCTAATCTTTGAGAGGTGGACAGAGTGAATGTAGCATTGAAAAGTGTTACTATCCATTGAAGCACAAAAATACAGCTAAACGTAGCTACCCAAAGGTTCACAGTGGGTAGGTCATTAGAATAGCTGGGTCATTAGGAGAGGCCAGGAACCCTGGTCATTGAATGAAATTGGAAAGTCTCCAGACATAAGCAGACAAGAGGACTTAATAATTTGGTTTGTTTATTTAATACAAGTTTTTAATTGAGAGCCTACTATAGACCAGCCACTATATTCTAGACACTGAGAACACTGTGGTGAATACACAGGTGTGGTCTCTGCCCTCTTGGAGTTTATATTCTCCTAGGAGAACTAACCAAAAATATAATAACGACAAATTGTTATGAACTAGAAAGGAAATAAACGAGAGAGAGAGGGACTCAATGGCAAGATCTTTTCAATCCCCTAGAACGATGCTAAAAAATCTACATATTCTGGCCATAGCACCAGAAACGTACCAACTCAATGCATTTTCAGGCATGCTATTTTAATTACGGTACCTGCTGGCGTTCATCACAGAGCCCTTCTTTGGTAGAAATGATGTCAGCATTCTTATTTGTTAACACTGCAACAATACTAAGCCTTAAAAATGAATGTGGGGAAAAAAATAGTGGCCAGAGGAGGGACCCATCCTTAGTAACAGAGGATCTTAAGTTGCAGTCCACAGCGTTCACGTTCTCAGGATAAACACACTTGTCGCCCTGCATACTCTCCGTGCCTGCTACAGCTGAAAGATCCACCCACTCGCTGCCATTTACCGCCCAACTTTCTAGAATAGTTCAAATAATTTTTGGAAGAAAATGAAATTGTAGGTCATTGCTATGAGTGGTAGCAAACTAATAGTGCTTATTATTTCTATATAGAGATAGACTTACATGTAAGTTACTCTTCAGATTCTTTAGTTTGACAAGACATTTTAGAAAATGTAAGATCTGGAAAGAGGTTCTGAATAGTGGTCTAAATATTTACCAGAGAGCCAAGAAATTCACCATGGGGGGGGGGGGGGGTTGAGAATAACAAATAAAAAAGAAGTAGGATGCGAAAGCTAACAAGTTAAAGTTTGGCTAAAAGTAACATATGTAAATAGCTAATTATTCACTTTTGTGCTTACTTGATTTAGATTATTTCTATTAGTTATAGTTTTTGTAGTTACATGTACCTAATTTATTGAATGGGTGCTATCCTGTTTATGTCCATCCTGGTTTTTCTTGGCTACAGAAAAACTCTGTTGCAGGGCAACACTAGTTTGATATTTGATTTACTCTCCAATGAGACTCGATGGCTGGGCCGCTGTAGACTCATAGTTACCCCTGTTCTTTATGAAATTCATCCTGCTAATTAGATTTCCAGTGACTTGTAACATGTAGTTTACACAGAATGGCAATTATAGATGCATACAGCGACTGTACTAAAAAAAAATGGATCTTTCTGGTGTGCCAATAAACAATTTTTATGCGAGAACATCATATGTCTCTTTAGAATATCTTGTTTTTTTGCCTATTTGGGAATAACAGTTTGCCTTTGTCAAAGCAACATTTCTTCGATCAAGTGTAATTAGAAAGCCCCCCAGAGCTCTTGAATCAAACATGTGTTATTCACCCCTTCCTCAATCTTAACTTAGCGTGAAACAAAGTTGAGATGCAGGTGGGGTCTGCCTACAACCATTGGGGACTTAACTTTAACAAACCTGCTCTAAAGATGCCACAAACTTGTACTGCAAAATATAGTGTCACTGAATTTTTCAAACCTTCAACATTTCTTTGATTGTTTTTTATGGCTAAATAATACAGTTGTCTTTTATACATTCATATGGCTAACCAATGTGATTCTTTTAAACAATTACATTATTGATCTCCTTTACATTGTTAATAGCCTCTTAAGATAAACTGCCTTTGTTTTTTATTAAAAGAAAAACATCACCTATACGCTCTCATGTATAATGCACACCCATGTTGTTGGTCCAGACTTTCAGGAAAAGAATCTTTTGTTTTAATTTTTTAATTCAATTATTTATTTATTTATATTTAGATACTTGTTTTTTGTATTTAAAAAAAATTTAGCATTTCTTTTTGAACATATTATGGTACAAGAAATTTTATGTGACAAATAATTACAAAACACAAGAACAGATGCAAGGTATTTTAGGTGCTACCTGTGTATTACACACATCCTTATTTTTCCCTCAAAAATTTGGGCAAAATGTGTGCATTATACATGGCAAAATGCAGTATACGGCGCAGGTTATTACAATACCTCAGAGTGGAGCGTTAAGCAGTTGGAAGCAGCTGCTGCTCTGCCTTCCTCCGGGTTTCTGCTCTTTCCTCTCTCCCCCTCCCCCCCCATCCCTAATGCTTTTTTCTTCTTCTATTTCTCTCTCTCCCTTTTTTCTCTCTTCTGTTCACTCCCCAATGGAACACTTTGGCAAATTTTTACTCTTCTCATGGTCCTAAGGATAATAGAATTTCTGATTCCTGATATTTTTTCATAGGAGCAATTAAGTGATTTACAAGAAATCATCCCGTTTTCTGGAAATGAGATCATTTTCTCTGCCTTTACCGTCTGCATTAATCTTTTGCCCCTCTATTCAACATACCAGTAAGAAAGGAAGGCTTGCTGTTGAATCGGGATTTCTGATTATGAATCAAGGGAACTTTCGTAGTTAAAGAAGATCTTAGATCACACTACCTTATAATTTATATGACTATGCTAAAGATACCTACGTATACTCTTCAAATATATGTGCCAGTTACTTCCACTGAGACTGCTATTTAGGGAAGCTTAGGTCTTACATACATCACACATAACTGAGGCTACCTAAATCTTGTCTTTATCTGGAGAACCAGCTTTTTGGTTACACACAGAATATGTGGTATTGAATAAGAGTGAACAATGGAAGCACCTAATTAAATACACAATAACACCAGTCTGGTCCTTTGAATTTGTTATCTGCTTCACTCTGCCACAGCTGTGCTAAAAAAAGCTGCAGGTATAGAATTAGATATCACAGAATTAGGAAGTGGGGATGGTTGTATAACTTTCTGAATGTAGAAGAAAAATCACTGAACTGTGCACTTTGAAAGGGTAAAGGACCATGTTGAACATGGCCAGGACTCTCCTTACAGCCGCCTTCACACCACACCTATTAGTCCGTTCCTATTTTACCAAACCTGTCCTCTGAGGTAAAGCCCAAAGCAGAGGGGGAGGGGTGTCAAGCACCTAACAGCTGACCTCCTGACCCTTCCTTTTCTTTCCCTGCTACCTTCCCCCAGTCATGGGAGCGCTCTGGCTTCCTTCCTCTTCGGCCTGGTGGAGATCACTTCCACATTTCACTCTCTACCTTCCTGTCAGGGACTTTAAGCTGCCCCTTTCCTGAGGAGCCACAGTGGTGGAGAAAGTAGAAAACCTGAGAATGATTAGGGAAGTATCAAAATAGCTCTTACATACTCTCTGTGGTTATAAATCGTGTTCACATATTTTTTCCTTCTCCTACCAGGTAAAAATAAACACTCACCGTGAAATCTAAAAGGGAGCATATTGTGGTTCACAATCTTGCCTCTTTACCCCAATGTTTTTTCTAAAATTCTCTAATAATTAATGAATATAATAAAAATAATTAACTAGTAAGCATGGCTGAATGTTAAATTTTAATTACCATCTATTACAAACTATCTTTTGATAGATGGCCATGATTTTTAATGTATGAAAAACCATAAAGCTAAAGAAACCACTCTGAAGAGAGGAACTTCATGAAGGTATAAACCAGTGCTTCTCAACCACAGCTAAAATTCTTGCATAAGGGCAATATGTTCAACTCTGCATTTATATATGTTCTGCACCAAGAAAGGGACACAAAGTGAGATGAAGCATGTAAAAGTGACTTGCACAATAGGGATGAAAGACATGTTAAATGCAAGTATAATTTTTGTAACCTCTACGCTCTGCATATCAGCAGCCCTGCAAGTGGTAGCACAGCGGCTGAGAGCACAGTTTCGGGCCATGACTGAATTCTGGTCCTGGCCCCCAGGGGTGCCAGCTTGTGCCCTGGAGCAAGCAATGAAAGCACATGCACAGTTTCTGTATCTCTAAAGTGGAGAGGATAATAAAATTGTTTTGAGAGTTAAACCAAACAACACATGTAAAACACTCTGAGCAGTGCCTGGCCCATAATGAGTGCTATGGTATTTTATTTGCGTGCAGCCTGCTCACGGTGCCACAGTTCCGTTCCACCCCCTCCCTTCTTTATTACTAAGATCCCATTTGAGCGTCAGTAATGGTGCTCACCATCCTCTTGGGACATGATGCATATTTGGGGAACTTGACAATACGTTGAATTCTTCTGCAAAAATTAATGAAAGAATGTCAGCAAGGAAATTCTGAGAAAATGTAGTAACTTGACTTGTAGGACACATTAAACTATTTCAGAGCCACAATAATCAACATGGTGTAAATATTACTAAAAACAACTACAAGATATCTCAGA